GGGCAGAAATTAAAAAGACATTTGGGTGTGGAACATGTGTGGGAAACTTCTGTACATTAACTGTTCCAGATCTGCTCACTGAATTAGATGAAAGAGAGAGAGAGAGAGAGAGAGAGAGAGAGAGAGAGAAGAAAATCAGCACTTTGAAGAAGCCAGAAACATACCTTTCATTCAAATTTTAGGCACTGGTTAGGATAGACAATGTAAAAATCTGCCAAAAATTAAGCACCCTGTTGGAGGGTTCTGCCAAAGTTTTCATTTCTATGTTTTTATTTTTCTTAGTTCAAAAGAAGGCTTATTGCATCTAAGAAACTCATCTGCAGGGGCAAAGAATTTGACTTTCTCTAAGCTGAGAGTCAGGACAGAAAGAATATGGTTTATTGCAGTAAGTAGGTATTAAGTTTTGAAATGGCCTACGAATGAAGGGTAAAATAAATTTTCACACCTATTCAGGGTCCACGACTCCTAGCAAATGGAACAGCACCAGCTGTGATCCAGCACAGCCAAAAGGAGGAAATCCACACATGCATTAGTGTCTTTTCTCCTAGCGCTGACTCACCAAAATACTTCCCAAATGAAGAAGACTTTGCTGATGGGAACCTGCTACAGTAAGATGTCAGAGGAAGGCCCTGAGTGCCCACGCACATTGAATTCTTCAGTATCAGATCCTGGGCTACCTGTACCTTAAAGAGGCTTTGGCATACATTTCCCATGGTACCTCCCCAGTAGCTAGCTAGAACAGATGGGAACTGTAGACCAAAACCTCTGGAAGGCCACAAGTTGCTAATTCTTGTTCAGTATCATAACCACTATGTCTAAAAATTGGTTATCCAGATACACAGTGGTCACTTAAAGTCTAGTTCACACATTGCATGGTATAAATGTTCCCTGAATAATACAGGAGCCAAGAACAGGAAGCTGGTCTTGTAACTTTTGAAAGGAAATGGTCCCTTGTCAGGTATGGCACTTACATATTATTGGATGGCAGCTTGACAATATGTTGTAATGCAATCCATTCACACACTCAGTTACAAATTTTTAAGTAAGAGTCAGCCTTTGTAATCCTCCAAATGCTACCCTAGTGAAATTACTGGAGTTGGCATTATTACAGCGGTACGAGAATGAGTTCATTCTAAAGAGGAAAGGAAGAAAAACCTGAATGGTCTTAAAACTAAATGGTTCTTTCTGAACTTGTTTCAGGATGACCATATAATTCCCATCCATGGAAAACAGTTATGCTCTTAATACAGTTCTTGAACATACCTGAGAGAGGACCCCTTCATATGTGACCATAGAAGCAAAGCATGGTACAAGCCCACTTTGGCTGGGAGGAGGAGATTCTGTACGAAAGAGTCAGATTTTCACCTGTGCTTATGGATGCCTTATTCGCACCTGAGACTACATCATGGAAATTCCAGACTGCTCCAGCTATGTGTCAAAAGGCCAGAAACTAATTTGAATTTATAGAAATGTAACACCTAAACACCCGTGGAACTTTGTTCCACATCTATGATTCCCCCCCCCCCACACCCCCAGTATGTAGGCTTAGTGGTCATCTAGATTAGTTTTCCCCAAATTGCAATCCCTAGATGAAATGACTACAATTCCCACAATCTCTGATCATTATCCAGGGCGCTGAGTTGATGGGAATTGGTAGAAGTACATCTGAGGACTGCAGGTTGATAAAGGCTGATCCATGAAGCAATCCCGTTTTTTAATCTCCAGAAGAAAAGCCTGAGAAATAGGTAGGTTCTGATATTACTGTTTCTTGAGTGAAGATGCAGTGGGAAAATGAATGCAGGCACGATTTTTAAACATCCCAGGCATCTGGATAAATGTTCTTGATGCTCATACAATGGATTTCATTAGCATACCCCAGCTACCTACATACACATAATGTTTAAAAACAAGGGCAAAACAAATGAACACTGGAACCAGCCTGGAAACATAATCCTTATACCATGTGCCCCAGACATAGGTTCAAAGAACCAAACTGCTTCTGCTTAGGAAGAAAGAAGGCAGCTGTGTAACTCTAAGAAAGCCAAAGAATGGTGTTTTCCGCACAAGAAAACAAATATCTTATTACATTTATATAAAATGTTTGTTTGTCCACCTGACTCTCTCTCTCTCTCTCTTTCTCTCCTTTCTTTCTCAATACATTTATGGAAATTTGTTATAGACATCTGTGCATTAACAGAACTCCTGAAGCCCTTTATAAACCATTGTATGAATATTCAGTGACAGTTTAATATCCATTTTTTCAATAGAATGAGACTATCTCCATTTTATCAGTTAAATACAATATAATCTGTTTAGTCAATCTATAAATGAGTAATGTTTATCCAACATAATAGCATCATCCACTGTAATGTGACAAGATGCATTATTTAAATATGTTTGCCCTTTCTTGTAATATAGTATTCCTTTAAAGACCTCTACTATTGAACTGTATTAATATATTTTAAAGCACATTACAAATTTTTAAATAGTGTATGAATGTGAATGAGTGTTTTTGAAATGTGATATGAAAGATTAGAATCATTAGCCTTATGCAGGGAAAAGCATAGGGCTTAGTATCATCAGGTCATATATATTCAAAGAAAACAATTAGTGGCAAAATGGCTTTATTTTCTTGTGGTTTCAACACGATCTTTCAAACAATAGCTTTCAATTCATACAAGAAGTTTAGCTGGGCTATGAATTCTACACTTTCTAATAAAAAATATTTTTATCCATTTATTTGGCAAGGAATCTGAATTTTATGTTCAAAAAAATTTTTGGGTTCAAATAGTCACACACTGAAAATGCCTTGCAAGAAAAATATAAAAGCAACGAAGTTCTAATCATTTCCCTAATGCATCTTCCTGAATCAGCTCAATCCTAACCCTTTAATGCCAACCTTTTATATTGTTATTTATTTTATATTGTTAGTTTTATATTGTTATTCCTGTATTATATTTTATGTTGTGAGCCGCCCCGAGGCTTCGGCGAATGGGGCGGCATAGAAATGTTTTAATAAATAAATAAATAAACAAACCTATCCCCTAAAATTTTACTGTCAGAATAGAGAGCCTGTAACTCTCATCTTGCCCTGCATGTACAGCCATTTCATTTCCCTGCATGTGGTTAGTTTCCTATGTGAAACATTTTTACAATCCCAACAGCTTCTAGAAAGAAAGTGGATGGAATGGGACAAAATGGGCCTTAAAGATACAAAGGCATATGATTTTCAAAAATTAAAACGGGTCCTTGATTCTCTTTTCAAAAGAAGAAAATATGGTACTAAATGTTTTATCAAATTCGAGCTATATACCAGTTGTAGGGATTTTTGAGTATGAAGCAATTTTGTTATATTAGACCATTTTAAAAGTACACACCACAATAGTTCGTGCATGTTCCATACTGGCTTGATTCAAAATATAAACAGCTGCAAGATATATATCATTTGCAGTTGTCATAAAAGCTGTTAGAAGCTAAAGTTTCAAGTAAATTAAATCGACTGCTTACTTCAAGCACCCCCTCCAAGTCCCTACAATAATACTAGCATAAAAACCAGCTATTTCTTAAAACACAAAACAGTACCAACAAAAATATCTTATGTAACCTGGTCAAACATATGACCTATTTTTTTTCTGATCTGTAAAACATGCTAAGAGTAATTTTGTTGTTAACTTCAATTTTTAATTCACTTATTTTTCAGCAATATGCACAAAAGTTCACATATCCTATTTAAACGTTGATTCCATTCTCGTAAAATATGCTATGGTGGTGAAAGAAAACTATATCTTACAGGGACTAGCATGTTTTAACACTGAAAATATACAATAATAACAGAAATGGGATCTAAAAATCACTATGCGCAAAATTATTAGCTACCTTAACAGACTCCTTTTATTTATTGATAAAAGAACAGCAAAACCCAAAATTAAAAGTACCAGTTCTGTAATAAGCAGTTTTTGTTTCTTTTTATTTCTAATGGATGATGACATCTACAAATGTTAATCTCAAGTAATCCCATAAATATTCTGATATAGATGGGGTTTTGGCTGCAATTAGTTATAACTCTCCCTTCCATCACCACAATATACCTAATAATATTAAAAATGTATATTTTAATTTTTAGATGTTTTACTATTCAGAACTGCTGTATTACAGTTTGCTACTGTGGTTAATTTACAAATCATTCAGTAAGGTAAGTGTCTTAAAATACGTCGCATCACCTTACTATACTTTTTCAGCAATTTTTAATTTTTAGAAAAAATAATGCACATCTAAAAAACAACATCCCATGCATTTGTATTATTTCACACCTGAAGCAAGGCTTTGTTATTTGAAAAGTACTCCTAGTTTTAATTGCAGAAAGAGTTTAAATTCATGCAAGCAGTTAATTAGGATATTACACACAGATATCACTTCCTTTAAAGGATGGAAACAGGACAATCAGAGATTTAACTGTGCCTTCATTTATTATGGTAGCCCATAATTCCTTTCGTAACACCTGGAGTCACCCATTGACACCTGGAATCACACACACTGAGACAGCAGGTACATTTACAGCTCTAATTCAAAAACTTCTTTGGAAAATGAAGACGTCCGCCTTCTATTCTGGGCTCAGACCCATGTATATGTTTCATAAATCCTCTCCACAAATCTCTTTTAACATGCAAATCCATAAATCATCATAATACTGACAAAGAAGTCAACCAGCATGTGAAACTAATGCGTATTCTTATCTGGAGCTGGATACTGGTAAAACTATCCAAATGAGAGGACCTTTTCCATAGTTTTCAGTATATTAAAAAATAACAACACCTATCAATAGTTTCTCATCCCTCCGGTCACAAGACAACCTTTTTATAGTTCTCATTCCGTCTACTGATCTTATGAATCAATGCGTTGGATAAGAATGGGTTTAATACGCTGAACATGCCAAACAGCACTTCTTTTAGCCAAGAGAATCAATGGAAAAGCAAAGAGTAAGATAGACAAGGAGTACTCACTGAAGATGGTAAACCTGGAGGAACCTTTCGAACTTTCTTTGTTTGTACTTCTGAAAGAAGAAGACACAGTGTGGCTGTAAGGTGCATGTTTGCAGACTCACACCCGCACAGCTACTTTCAGAGCTAGGGTTTAGCAGTGAGCCAACATTATCAATTATTGTAAGACAGACGTTCAGTGGACGTTTCCTTATAGAAAGGTGGAGAAAGTAGCACAAAGTGACTCACCCACAGAGGTACTGTGCAGAGGTCTCCTTCGCGGGTTATTGCTAGAATACTGATAGTACTGAGAGCCAGGTTTGGTGGGTGAGAGTGCGCCTGGGTTGCCCATTTCCATGTCACCTCCGAGGAGACTTTGCTAAAAGATTTTTGAAAAATAAGCATTGTTACATCTAGCCTTCCCCCTTCTAGCCTTTGCATGCTGATTCAAATGACATCCAGTACAAACCAAACCAATTTTTTAAAAAAGCAACACAACACAACACTTTGGTGACTGGCAAAAGGAAATACTATCTCAAACGTACATTTCCCAACTTTATTTTCAGATACTTTAAACAGTTCTGATAATATTGATTTTCTGTTCAGTGGAAGGGAGTGCTTAAAATTATTCCGATTGGTAAAAGAATGGTTAAATATTTAAATAAACAACTTTCTGGGTATTTTTAAATATATAAACTTTTGAGGAACTTCATTAAGGAAAGTTCCTTGCCTGTTTATTTATTTTTCTTTCTTATTCAAACAAGATGTACTAAGTTCACCAACATAAAGTTTTACCGTGTCAGTCATTACCTACAAAATACATTTATTGTAGAGAAATAGTTATTCACCTCATAATGGAAAACTGTTTGTGTAAAATATATTCAGTGAAAGCAGAAATCTGTTACAACACAATATAAAATGTGTTAATCAGGTATACGATGCATGATTAAGCTGTGAAAATAAATTAAAAATTACTAAAACAAACTAGTGTTTTGCTAAATTACTAGTGAGAGGGCGAGATATAAAACTAGTAAATAGAAGAAGTTTTATGAAACTTCTTCAAGATCATCCTGTCTATATTATTAAGAAAGTGAGCATTCACATGTATGAAACACATTTATTCATGAATGGACAACAACTATTACTAAACCAGAAGAACTAATATCTGAGCACAACAAGGAAAAAAAGGCAAAAACTGTCATTTTCTTTTTTGGAAAAAAAGATGCTACTGCTATAACTACATTGAAACTTACCCATAATATATAAATCCCCTGATAATACTCTGCATTGAACACATTGTTCTTTTAATTTTTCTGATATGCAATAAAACAGGTGCAGATACTACCATTTATATGATGAAGAAATTTTCCATTTAATAAAGAAATTTTAAAATTAAGTACCAAAAATCTAACTTTATCGTTACTTGTAATCAACTTTTACTGACTGAACTAATTACTGTACTTGATAAAGTACAGAATGTGTTTTCCCTAATCTAAATTCTAATCACCATGTCACTCACAACAGACTTAGTAATGCTTCACTAACACACTATTCACATGCAAAACACTCTAAATAGGCCAATTATGACTCTGCCCCTGTTCCCTGGTTAACCCGCTGAGAACTGAAAAATTTCACAAGACAGTCACCAACTAAAACAAAGGCTCCTTGTTTTAAATTAAGACAGTCTTTTTGATGCTTAAATAGCTCAACAAAGTGCCATGTCTTCCGTCTGAAAGCAGTTGGTCAAATATGACCCATGAGCTGGAAAATACTTTGGAAAAAGAATTAAAAAAATAAGAAAAACCAAGGACAACTTTTTCATTGTGCTGATCTATATTACTTTCTTTTCCTATATGTGCAACTGGTAAATGGCTAGTGAATTATCAGTTACTTTCCTGATTTTGCTTCGTGCTCTGCCTTGGGTTCAACTTAGTGGAAAATGAGACAGGAGGAGATTTTGACATATACAGCTTTAAAAATAAGAGAGCATTAAGATGAAAAATTGTTTGATAGACAGTTGAAAGCTGCTCTCCTTTTGATTACATTCTATCCTTTTGGCAAATGTCAAAATATGTTTCAAAATTAATATATATATACTTTTCACAAGTTTTAAATTGAGCATAAATATCCAGTGGAACAAGCAGATTTCATCAGATTTAAAGAATCAATTTGGAATGAAATAATATTAGAAACTCCCTGTTCAACTTCATTTTTAGAAAGGCTATAAATCCTACTTTTCTAAACATGGAATACCCATGGGGATGATTGATCAGTTTTAATAGTTAATTATTTACAGTACATCTACCATCCTGATTAAATGCATTCTATAAAGAAGAATCAGTTTAATTAATCAATATATTAATAATATCAAATTTCCTATTGGTTTCTTGGCCCTAATTTTTTTCAAACTAAGTTATAATGTAAGTACAGATGGAATTGTATTTATACAATTATACAATAGAAATAAGTACAAATAAATGGTCTTGAAAGCACTCTTTCACTTATTTAGATAAATAGTGTCCTTTCTGTTACTTTTAGTACAGGAAGTAACTTTCGCTGCAGATCATTTAACTTTCCAAATTACAAGATACTGTGGGACTATGCAGTCTGAAGTATGGGTCTGTGGATCTGTGATGTTCCCAAATAAAGTACAGAAGATATCCAAAGCAATTCTTTTACACACAACTAAGTTCAGCTGGGGCCAATGGGCTGTACTTGAAAGTATGAATGATTAAGACTGGAGCCTGATATTTTAAACAAGAGACTTGGTATTTTCTGAATCAGCTTTTTAAAAAGTTGTATGAAAAAAGGAAACTGCAGAGAAGGTCTGATGAGCACTAAAAAAAGAGTATGTTTACTGAAACCTTCACTTTTCGTTCTAGCAAAAAATGTGTTCTTCCTATCCATGTATAATAATCAGGCATGCCTGAAGCACATGAAGTATATGTAGCCTACAAGGACACTCCTGGCTTTCCCTTACAGCCTCTCACATAAGCGCCTCTAATTTTGCCTTTATTTAAGCCTTTGTTTTTCATTGGAACAGCTAAGTCATTCTTCTGAGGCAACAAAACATCCATTTATGTGCTCTTTTGGGGGCTTCTCTAAGTACTCCACTGGGGAGAACTAAGATAAATATATATCTACTCATTCTGAGATACTTGTAAATAGAACAACAGGAATTTACTATTGTTCAGTGATTGCTGACATCTTTTAGCTGAGGGAAAGGAAGACAGCAAAAACAAAACTGCCATGAAAAGAAATTGCCTTTCTAAACGTAAACAGTCAATGAAATATTTTATATTTAACATCAATATTTCAAGACTGACTTGGAAGCTAACCTTTAGAGGTGTCTATTTCTTTTCTTGCTATCTGAAAAAGCTAACAGATTGTGCATTTTCCACACTAAGACTACTATGATTTCAAGCATGTTATTGTGTCACACCAGGATACAGGGAGGTTAAAGAAAAGATTAGTTTTTAAGGAAACTACTGGGATTCCTAAGAGATTTAGGCTGAGATCCAAAGAGCTACCTTACATGCAAACAAGGGCTTCAGAAATGTACCTGTCTTCTTCTGGATGCCAGAGCCAGGATATGACAAACTGCTTTTGAAGCTCTGCTCAAAGGGCAAGACAAACACCCTTAAAGAACTTGTGGGGTTTCTGGAGCCCAAGTCTAATTGTATGGCTTGTTGGGGGATGTTTTATTAATGGTTATCGAAAGATATCCCAGTAGTACCCCACCTAGTTTTGATTGCAAAGCCCTAAATGGCCAGGACATTAGGCACTGAAGGATTGCTTTCACCCAAATTATCTTTGGAGGTCTTTCCACACATGTTCTTATTTTCAATGAGGCAATCCTGCGGCTCCCAGAATACTGGTCTTTTTATGGTGGTGCCCAAACTAGAGAATTCTTCCCCAAGATTTATTCACACAGAGATATCCTTGTTATCTTTTAGCTCCTACGCAGGGTCAATGTCCATCACTTGGGTTTGTTTCCCTTGCAATCAATTTCCCTTTCTTTTCTTTTCACCTTGGCTAATCTTTGCATCAACATCCTTATGGAGTTTTAATAGCAATGGTTTTAATAACAATTCACTGAAGCTTTGATACAATTTTGTCAGATTTTGTCTATTTCCTGAAAGGAGCCACAGGGGCATTTACATTTTAATGATAAGCTTCTCCAAAGAAAGAAAGACACACACACATATAAGCACTGGAATTTTGGGGTGGATTTTGAGTAGGCTTTGGTGCAAATGACCTCTTGAAATTCTCTATTTATGGGCAAAGGAATTGGGAGAGCAGTTAATTTTTTTCCCATGGGAAGAAGACTCACAAGTATAGTTCACCAGTGGCAAGGAACTGGAGCTCATCTGTCTTGTGCATCTGCCTAACCTCTGTAAAGTAACTGGGGATGTGATGTCCATCTTTTTCTTTCTTTTTCACAGATCTCCATTACTCTGTGGCCATCCAGGCTGCCTGTGCTTCCTAACGGGAAGTTTCTTTTTTAAAAGCCTTATGAGGAATTACTGCAAATCTTTCCCTGGGCATCAGCTAGACTGGAAGCTGACACAGCTCCGAGCAACTGGAGAGATGAAAGGAAGGCAGAACACACTCCTTAGCTTCTCTGAGTAAGGTAAGCACAAGATTCCTGAATGAAAACTATGTGAATTTCATTTGAGTTTCTTTTTGAAAGGCATTTATTTTCTGTCAAATTCAGTGGAAAAAAAAGTGGAAGACAGGAGCACAGGACACGTTTCAATTATCTGAGACAGATTTGCAGAAGGTTCTCCAATCAAGTGGAGGCCTCTACTGGAGGAAGGGCGATGTAAGTTTTGCGGATTCCTTCCCTGTTCCCTCTCCAAAACTGCTCGGGAGCACCACTCAAGCTTCCACAGTCAAGGAAAGGTAGAACAGGCAAGACTTTCCTTGTTTTCCTTTCCACCGCTGGGAGAGACAATGAGTAGAGTTCCACACAGGAAGTATCCAAGATACAGTGGTCACCATCTTGAAGCCATCTGGCTTATTCGGTATTTTGTAAGCATGACACTGTATAAAGCAGAAGCGGACAGGACCCTCCTTCCCAAGGCCAGAACTCCTTTCAGCTGTGCACATACTAGAATATGTTTACATTTCCAGATCCTTCTCAGAACAAAACAAGACCATAACATACAACATAATAACTAGTGCAGTACCAGAGCATCCTCCAATGAGAGGAAGAACTATATATTCAAATATTACAATATGCATGTTATTTAGCTAAGTTTTATACAATGCCCTGAAGCCCAAATTTACCTACTTCTACAGTTTATAACATACAAAATAATACAGAAAGCATGTCGAATTTGTCGGCTAGTGCCTACACTGGGGTCATCAATGGCA